GCGGACCCCTCGCTGCCTCAGTTTCCCTTCTCCCAGCCGGGAAGGAACGCAGCCCGTCGGCATCCCCCCCTCACCTCACCCCACCGCGGCGGCCGCGGCCTCCCCTCCTCCCCCTCTTCCTCCTCCTCGGCCTTTTGTTTCCCGCCCGGAGGGAGGGAGAGGGGGGAGGGCGTGGGGGGGGGCTCCTCAGGTAACGGGGGGGACCCGGGCCCGGGCTGGGGTGAAGGGGGGGAGGGCGGGACGCGGGAGGAACCCGGGACGGGGGACTCGAACTCGTGCAGAGGCGGCGAATGCCCCCCCCCCACACCTCCACCCGTGACCCCTTCCATGACCCCACCCCCACCCTTCCATGACCCCCCATGACCCCTCCCCATGACCCCACATTTCCATGATCCCTCCCCATGACCCCCCCCACATACTTCCATGACCCCCACTTCCATGACCCCCGCCCCACTTCCATGACCCCCGCCCCACTTCCATGACCCCCGCCCCACTGCGGCCTAGGTGCGCCCCGAAGGCCCCTGGGGAGTCAATGGGGTGGGGTGGGGTGGGGGGGGTCCACTGGCTTCCCACCCCACGTTGAGCCTGCTGGGAGGAACATGTAGGGTTGCGCTAGGTGCTTTAGAAAGAATAAAAACGAAGAGAAAATTATATGTATACAGATCTATGTTTTATATCTATATGTATATGTATCTGTGTATATGTGTGTGTAACAGTTGGGGACTGGCAGAGCAGATCTCAAGAGACAGACAGACAGACAGACTCAGGAAGGAGAATTGGGGGATGTGATTGAGGACGGGTGGACTTCGCCAGCCCGGGGAAATGCCTGCAGTGAACTGCAGACCAGACCCATCCAAGATTGCTTTTTTTAAAGAAGTGGGGGGGGGGGGCAGGATGGTTTTGTGTGTGTGTGTGTGTGAGAGAGAGAAAGAGAGAGCGAGAGAGATTTCTGCACATTTCCAAGAGCTATTCCAAGTGATATTTCTTACTGTCAGGCAATGATCACTGGCTTTGAAGCAAAGGGTTCTAGATGGAATCCATTCAGATTTCCTTCATGCTCCTCCAAGTGTGAGTTTAAAAAAAAAAAAAAAAAAAGACCAATTGGCTGCCAAGAAGTGGGGTACAGGACTATGTCCTCCTTAAATCCCGCTGTAAAAAGGGAGTAGGGAGTAGCCAGGAACTTAAAGGCTGGTCAAGGTCTCATTTCACCAATTTGGCACTGGCAAGAGTACACACACACACACACACACACACACACACACACACACACACACTCTAAGCATGGAGCCATACAGAGTCCCTTCAGTTTTGCCATGGTTAAACTAATTTTGTTGGGTGTCTCTATGCTCTTAAGAACCGGTTCCCCTCACTGCCGTGAGGATTTTTACTGTAATTCTGCAGGGTCGGTGAAATTCGCTGAGAATTGATTCTGGTATGAGGGGAACAACTCTGCCTCATAGTTCAGAAACATCAAATTCATCTCAGCACTCGATTCTGAGGACCAGGAAGCCCTGTGTGTTTTAGGAAACACTCTAATATTCAGACATCTAAATCATAGCCCGTGCCCTGGAAATGTCTACAATTGCTAAGAAATCAGTTAATTAGTGGAGTTAAGGAGAGAGAGAGAGAGAGAGAGAGCACTTAAATATGTTGGGGGGGATCAAACTTGGGTTTAGCAGCAGCAAGTCAGCTTCTGCTGGGCTTCTGAGATTAATGATGGTAAAAGAAGTTAACTGTGAATGAACCTTGCCAGAATGACACAAATGACCCCATAAAGAAAAAAAAAAAATGTAGGTTTGTCATCTGATAGATTGAAACAGAAAACAGATGACTTGGGGCGGGCGGAGTAAAACTTTTAAGCTGTTGTGCACTGGTGGGGAAAGGAAGCAAGAAATTTCAGGGTGACGTAGGCGGCATGGTCAGAATAAGGGAGGCCCTTTTAGTTTTAGAGAGACAAGGTGTCATTTTCGTAAACAAAAAAGTAAACCACACAAAGGGCATACAGCGTTTGCTTAGCAGGGGTTTTTGGAAAAGAGTAAGAAACACTGATTTGTTTCTGGAAAGGTCCAACAGCAAGATGAACGGGTTTCCTTCAGCTTGAGGGAGACAAGACAGTGTTACCACCTATGGGACAAAGTTTTATCCTCTGTCTCAGTCAAAGCCCACTTGCGTTGCTTTTAAGGCAACAACTAGATCATTTCCCTTTCTGTCATTTCTGTGTCCCTCCCCTCCCCCCACTAGGGACAGGGAGGATGAAGAAGAAAGGAATGAGATTAGAGTCCAACCTGCGTGTCTAAGCAGTGGCATCATTTAAGGATCTGTGTCACTCTGTGTAAGAGCCTTCATGCCCGACGGCTGCAGGGCACAATCCTTTGGGTGCACGCCATAGGATAAAGATGGGGCATTCAGCCACAGGTGGAGGCGTTATTGGGGAGGGGTCACCCCATTAGGGAACCACTGGGGAGAAGGGATAGCCTTGCAAATGCTTCCATTTGAGCCAGACTTTGCTCCTTGTCACAGGAGCCTGGTGAGCAAGCATTTACTGGCTCCACCTCATGATTTCAGAGCGCCGGAGGCTCATCAGGGAATGCCCCTGTGGAGGTTAGAGGTCTGAGACTGAAGCCCACCAGTTATGCCTGCAAAAACCGCAGATGCTGTGGAAAAGCAAGCTTCAGGGAGACACCGACTTCCAGAAAACAAGCTGTACCCCTCCCTGCCAGTAGATGGCGCTGCTGCCTCTGGGAACTCGTGGAGGGAGCCCTGGGGCTATCAGCACAGTCGGGTGTGAAGTCTCTGGTCTAGATTTGTCAAAGGTCATGTAAGTTCCGTGTCACTGAGACTCAGCGAAACTAGTTCTGAAAGGAATTGTTTAAGGGTGTTGTGGGGAATGGCTATTTGTGTGTTTGTGTGTGTGTGAAGGCAGAGGCTAAAATGACAGCAAGTAGCATAAGTTTTTAAATTATTTGATGTACCTGTTGTTGGTTAACTAAACAGGATCTTGAGATCATGATTCACACAAAAATTCCCAGCAACTTCTCATTTCTGATTATTTACATGAAAAGCTGGCACGCCACACACCAAGTATGCTTGTGATGTCAAAACCTAGTGAACAGCCCGTAACTACACGTTCTGACAGTAACAGTGAAAATATTAGTAGAAATAATTCTGATTGTCCTGGCACTGTAGCTCAGACCTCTAATCCTAGCTACTCAGCAGGTTAAGATCTGAGGATTGTTACTAGAAGCCAGCCCAGGCAGGAAAGTCCATGAAACTTATCTCCAATTAAACACCCCCAAAAGTCTGGAAGTAGATCTATGGCTTAAATAGTAGAGCACTAGCCTTGAGCAAAAAAGCGTAAGGACAGTGCCCAGGCTCTGAGTTCAAGCCACAGAACCAGAATTTTTTTTAAAAAAAGAGTCTGATTCATCACTGTCTTTCAAGTCTGTCCATATAAATCAAGTCCAAGTTATTTTAAATTAGTTTCTTCTTTTTTTAAAAATTTTTTTGGGGGGGTCCGGTTATGGGGCCTGAACTCTGGGCCTGGGTGCTGTCCCTCAGCTCTTCAGCTCAAGGCTAGCGCTCTACCACTTGAGCCACAGCGCCACTTCCGGCTTTTTTTTCTTTTTGCTTATGTGGTGCTGAGGAAACGAACCCAGGGCCTCATGCATGCGAGGCAAGTGCTCTACCACTGAGCCCCTTCCCAGTCCTAAATTTGTTTCTTCTAAAACAATGTTTTTTTTTTGTTTTGCAGTATTGGCATTTGGACTCAGAACCTTGTACTTGCTAAGAATGTGCTCTACCACTTGAGCCACACACTGGCAGCCTTTTTAGTGATTTTAAGATCTGTTCTTATGTTTGTGCCTGGACTAGCGTTGAACTGTGAGCTTCCTTCCTGTGCTTCATGGTAGCTGGGTTTATAGATCTGTACTATCATGCCAGCTTTTTGGCTGAGATGGGGCTCTCATGAACTTTATATGCCTGGGCTGACCTCAAACTATGATCTTCCCGATCTCTCATCTTTCAAGATAAGACTCAAACTGCAGTCTTACTGACCTTGTTGTCCAAGGTTCATTCATCCATCCTCCCGTTATGAAATAGTTATTCTGGGTTGTTTTCTTTCCTTTCCTTTTTTTTTTTTTTGGGGGGGGTTGTTTTCTGAGATGGCTTGGGGGGGAAGGGAGAGTGGGGGTGGGTGGGTTGTGGTCTGAACTCTGGGCCTGGGCACTGTCCCTCAGCTCTTCAACTCAAGGTGAGCGCTCTACCACTTGAGCCACAGCGCCACTTCCAGCTTTTTTTGCTTATGTTGTGCTGAGCAATCGAATCCAGAGCCTCATGCATGCAAGGCAAGCACTCTGCCACTGAGCCACCTTCCCAGCCCCTGAGATGGCTTTTGTAGACATGAATTTTATTTATTTATTTTTGCCAGTCCTGGGGCTTGAACTCAGGGCCTGGGCACTGTCCCTGAGCTTCTTTTGCTCAAGGCTAGCACTCTACCAACTAGCCACAGCACCATTTCCAGCTTTTTCTGTATATGTGGTACTGAGGAATCGAAGCCAGGGCTTCATGCATGCTAGGCAGGCACTGTACCACAAGCCACCTTCTCAGCCTTAGACATGATATTTGGGGGAGGTGGGTGCTTTGGGCCAGTGGCAGACAAGTTTACAGTCTAGAGAGAGGGGTTTGGCTCTAACCCTGTCTGAGGTACAGCACCATGTCCTTGGGTGCCATTACCCCAACCATCTGCCACAGTGTACAATTTCATCTCATGACTCAGCCGTGTGAGCGCGAGTCCCGCCTCTCTTCAATAAACTGCTGAGCCAGTTTTTACTACCATAACCATGTCATAAAGTCCCACTGACACAAGGCAGTCACCATCATAGCTCATTAATGTTGCCTGGCGTTTTGTCCAAACACAGAGCTCTTTGTGTTGCTGGCTGTGATTTATCTCACCTTTCCTTCCTGAATTTGGTGGGTTGGTGACTCTCGAAACTCCTAAGCTGGTGCTGGCTTCGGCAGCACAAATACTGAAATGGGAACGATACAGAGAAGATCGGCATGGCCCCTAAGCAAGGGTGACACACAAACGCGTGAAGCATTCCATATTTTGTTTAAAACTTCTGTACCTTTAGTCTTGTATGTAAGTTGATCTGTTTTGGGAAGGGCAAGAGGGGGCACAGAAGTGGAAGGTCAAAGGGTGAATAAATGTAGCAGTGATGCTCACTAGACACTATGTTGACAATGAACTCTACAACTTGGGGAAGAGGCGGTCAGGACCCAACAACTGAGAAAATAAGGGAAGAAGTTACAGTTTCAGAAGACATGAACTCGTTACCTAGCTGATGTAACTGTAACCCCTCTGTACATCACCTTACAATAACAATACAATAAAATAAAAGTAAAAACTCCTAAACTGGGTGCTGGTGGCTCATGCCTGTAATCCTAGTCAGTCAGGAGGCTTGGGTACAAGGTTTGTGGTTCAAAACCAGCCCAGACAGGAAAGTCCGTGAGACTCGTATCTCCAGTGAACCACCAAAAAACCAGAAGTGGCGCTGTGGTTCAGGTGGTAGAGCGCTCGCCTTGAGCTGAAGAGCTGAGGGACAACGCCCAGGCCCAGAGTTCAAGCCCCACAACTGACAAAAAAAAAAAAAATCTAAGGGAGAACAACCCCAATGCTGGCCCACACACCCAGAAAGTATATTGTTCAGTTTCTATAGTTTCTGTAGTTTCTCTTGGTTTTGTTTTGTTTTGTTTTATTTTTTTATTTTTTTCCGGTTGTGGGGCCTGAACTCTGGGCCTGAGCACTGTCCCTCAGCTCTTCAGCTCAAGGCTAGTGCCCTACCACTTGAGCCACAGCGCCACTTCTGGCTTTTTTTTTTTTTTCTTTTTGCTTATGTGGTGCTGAGGAATCGAACCCAGGGCCTCATGCATGCAAGGCAAGCACTCTACCACTGAGCCAACTTCCCAGCCCCTTGTTTTTTAAATTGATGAATATTATCTTTTTCATGGTAGGGAGTTTTGTCATGGTATTTTCTTTTCTTTTCTTTCTTTCTTTTTTTTTTGGGGTCCGGTTGTGGGGCCTGAACTCTGGGCCTGGGCACTGTCCGTCAGCTCTTCAGCTCAAGGCGAGCGCTCTACCACTTGAACCACAACGCCACTTCCGGCTTTTTTCTTTTTGCTTATGTGGTGCTGAGGAATCGAACCCAGGGCCTTATGCATGCAAGGCAAGCGCTCTACCACTGAGCCACCTTCCCAGCCCTTGTTATGGTATTTTCATACATATAAAATAGTGTGATCATATTCACCCCCTCTATTACTTTTCTTTTCCCCCCAGTCTCCCACCCATATCGCTTCCCCTTCTACCTAATAGGCTTTCTTTTACTTTCTTTTGTTACCAGTTTCTAATTTTATTCCATTAGAATCTGATGTGAGAAGTTATTCTGTTTTTTTCTTTTTTTGGGAGGGGTGGTGGTGGGGTATTTGTTAAGACTTGCATTATGGCCTAAAATGTGATCTATTCTGGGAAAGGTTCCATGGGCTGCTAAGAAAGAATGTGTATTCTGAAGATCTTGGATGGGCTTTCGCTTTCTGTAGATCTCTGTGTTTGGTCTGTGGTACCCTTTAACGCTAAGGTTTATTCATGGATTCTTTTTCCCACCCATCTGAATGACCTATCTATCAGTAAGAAGAGGGAATTGAAATTACCCACTCTTACTGTACTGTGGCCTGTCTGTCCCCTTTATGTCCAACAGTGTTTGCTTTATGGTATTAGATACACCAGTGTTCAGTGCTTATGTATCTTCTTGGAATATTGTCCCTTTTCTTGATGTGTCGTGTCTTCCTTGAGCACTTTTGACTCATGTTGGCTTCGTTAAAAGGCAATACGGCGACTCCTACTAACTTGTGGATTTCATTTGCTTTGAGTATCATCTTGGCCATCTTTTAGTCTGTGTCTTTGTCACAGAGGTGAGTTTCTTCAATAACTGGATCTTGTTTGTTTAATCAGTGCAGGAAGCCTGTATCTTTTCGTGGGAGAGTTAAGACCATTTACATTTGGAGTTATTAATGAAAAGTTTGCACTAACTTCTTCCTTTTTCACCTTAGAGTAATGTTTATTTCCTACTTCTTCTATCTTTATTCTCTCAGTAAGATTTATTCTTTCCCTAGTTCACATGACTATGTATATATTTTTCCCCTCTCTTGTGTGTGCTCTTCCTTTCAGTATCTTGTGTGAAAATACTGATTTATTTGGTATGAATTGATTTATTTTATGCTTACCACGGAAAGTATTGTTCCTTGAATTTGAAAGGACAGCTGCTAGCTATAGAAGTATTGATTGGTAGATAATTTTATGTTGGGGCTTGATATATATCGGTCCATGTTTCTGCTGTTGCTCTGAGAAGTATGCTTTTGTAAGTAAGCTGCCAAAGACCCTTTTGCAGTATTCCATATTCTTTCTTGGTTGTGAATTCTTGGCATTTTAACTATAATATGGATATGGTTATTCTTTTATGGTCATTTCTATTTGGCATTCAAAATTCTTCATGTGCAGGCATGTGTGTTTCTTTCACTAGATTTGGGAAATTATTACTGCTATTGCTGCTGTTTTTGTTGTTGTTGTTTTTATTGACACTACTGGAGTTTGAACTCAGGGCCTGGTACTTGATAGGCTGGTACTCTACCACTTGAGCCTGCACCGTTGGCTTTTTGCTGTTTAGGTTCAAGGTGGAGTGTGACAGAATTTTCTGCCCTTATTGTCCTTGAACCATGATCCTCTGGACCTCAGCCTCCTAGTTAGTAGGATTATAGACATGAGCAACCAGTGCCCAGTTTAGCTACCTTTGTTTATATCCGAGGAGCACCACACAAACTCCTGCTCCACTTTGTTGTTTCCTTTCATCCTTTATACTATCTGTAACCCCTAGAACTTTTTCTGTGTGTCCCCAGATAGAAGTGACTCAGAGCTCGTATATATTGGAAGGGAAGAATCTTGTTTTTGCCAGAAGGCACACAGAAGTTATTTTGTGTTCCATTCCTAATTTAGACACATGAAAACCACTTTGGAAGAGAATTACTACCTTGTGAAGGACATTCACTTGAAGATCTCTTGATTTCTGTCCTGTGACACCTTGCAAAGGCAAAACTTGCTACTATGATGACCCATGCTTGTGAATTCTTCCTTCTGGGTCCTTTTTTTTTTGGGGGGGGGGGGGGCGGGTTATAACCAGAGTAATATTTGTTCTTGCTTTAGCAAGGGAATAAAAATTACCTTTGCGTCTTCCAGAGACTATTGACTGAATTCATGCAACAAACAGATTTGTACATTTGAATCCTAGCATGCTGCTGAATTATTGTTAAAAAAAAAAAAATTTGGTGGGCAGAAAGGAAGCACATTGACTTTTTCTGAATTTGTTTTGTCTGAAAACTAAAAGAAGAAAGTGGTGACCCTTTAACGTCTTCACCTGTCCCAGAATCCCCTGACTTTATGAAATTCGACCTGGTACCCGCACTACACATACCTTTAAAATGATGACCACTAAGGAAGGATCTCATTTATAGTCCATTAAACTCAATGCCAATATAAGATTCCTTTATGTCTGCAAATTGCTTTTGTGCAGAAATACTCTCTTAATTCCCTATCTGTTTTCCTCATAAAGTGCAACTGGAGGACAGCAGCATGGCTGTCCCCCGGGTGCTTGTTAGAAATGCAGAGTATCAGGCCTCCCCCGTCAGCGATCAAACTAAGCAGCTCCACCGCATCAAAATACCGAGATGATGAACATGCACGTCAAAGCCAGACATGCTGCTTCAGTTAATTTTGAGTCTTCCATTGACCCGTTGCGGAGGCAAAGATATATTACAGAAGAGGAAACTGAGACCCAGAGTTGTTAAGTAACTAGGTCAAGGTTATTGTGCTAGAATCTCATCCAGAGCTTCCTACTCTAAACCGAATACTGCTGCCTTGGCTGAGCCTGGTTTAGCCTCATACGATCCTGTTGGCTGCTCATAACCCATAGGGTTAAGTGTGGTTGAGTACGGTTGAGTCTAAGCCAGCCAAAGAACGTTAAGTGGAGGTAGAAAAATTTGAAGCTGGTGGCTCACATCTGTCATCCTAGCTGCTCAGGAGGCTGAGGTCTAAAGATCCTGGTTCACAGCCCGCCAAGGCAGGAAAGTCCATGAGACTCTTACTTCCAATAAACCACTAACAAAACAGAAGTACAGCTGTGGTTCAAGTGGCAGAATGCTAGCTTTGAGCAAAAGAAACTCTGGGAGGGGGGAAGGGGGGGGAGGGGGGAGATGGGAAGGGTGGGAAGGGGAAACAAAGGAGGAGGACAATGCTTGATAAGAAATGTACTCATTATCTTACCCATGTAATTGTAACCCCTCTGTATGGCATTTTCACAATAATAATAATAAAAAAAAAGCTCAGGGACAGTGCCCAGGCCTTGAGTTTAAGGCCCAGAATCAACACATACACACATACCTTAAAAAAAATATTGTGAACTACTTTTAGGAAACACACGTGCACACGCGCATACTACCCGTGCAAATTCTTTCATGTTATTTTCTATTCCCAGTTAGCTAGAATGGAGAAGACTCTCGCTAGGAAAACTGGGGATTATGTTCTAAAGACACAGGAGTTGAGTCACGTACCATTAGCTCCCACTTGTAATCCTAGCTACTCAGGAGACTGAGACCTGGAGGATTGTAGTTTAAAGCCAACCCAAGCAGTAAAGTCCAAGAGGCTTCATTTTCCCATTAACCCACAAAAAGCTGGACTGGAGGCATGGCTCAGTTGGGAGCACAAAAGCTGCAGCAAACCAGGCAAGAATGTGAGTGCCTGGATCGCTGCGTTAGGATGGCTTGAGTAGCTGATTTTCCATCTCTGAAGGACATATATAGGAAACAAAAGCACTTTTATTGAATTTGAACCATTAAGAGTGTGTCGGGCACTTAAGTCTCCTCTAAACAATTCACTTGAACAGAGGCTTGGGGCTTGACGTTCTGGTTCTTGGGTCTAATGCATGCATTCATTTTTGTCTTTATAGCAGCTGGCGATCGTTCCTTCCAGCATGCAGAAGTGACTGAGTGGTGGTGAAAAGCAGCCTA